TCCCTGTCCTCAAGGAACTCATATGCACATATCTGGTGATGTACAAAGCACATGTAGACCAGACACAGTCTAGCAGTAGTTGAAGGCTATTGATGGTTGCTGGCCAATAGAGCTATTTATCCCCTCTTGGTTGGCCCACATGCTTTAAAGTGTTGGAAGATTTGGACTTCTCATCGGCATCCTAGCTGTATCCCCAGGACAGACGTGACTGGTAGCAGTGTCTGCATCAGGAGTCACAGACAGACTAGATGCATTGAGAAAAGGCAGTTTCAGAACTCTACAAGTCCAGCAGAAAGCTGCCCCATACCTATAGGCAGCTAAATGGTGCAGTAGATAGAGTAACAGGCCTGGAGTCAGGAAGACCTGAATTCAAATCCAGCCTCAGACACTTATTAGCTGTGTGACCCTGGACAAGTTACTTAACCATGTTTGCCTCAGTTTCCTCATCTGTAAAATGAGATGGAGAAGGAAATGGCAAACTGCTCCAGTATCTTTACCAAGAAAACCCCAAAGAGGGTCACCAAGAGTCAGACACGACTGAACAACAATAATTTCTGGGGAACTTCAGAAGTAGGCAATTCACAGTTCCTGGAACTGAGGACACATGAATGCCCTATGAAGCAGGGAAAAGGACTTCCAGGAACTGTGAATGATCTGCTTTTGCCATAAGTGGTCTGAGTATGAGCCCACTTTCCCCTGGCTTCTGTATGTACTTGCTGGGGGAGTATGTCTCAGACTTTTAGAAGAAATTTTGTATCAACTATCCTTACAATACCACCTTAGTAAACACTGGCTGGCTAATTGATGTCAACTGATTATTACTGGCAGAATTACAGTAGACGGGGCTTGTTAGTTTTACTGCTAGAAAAGCCTTCAACTCCCTCCAAGGGTTACCCCTAGAACTCTGAGGGTAGAAGCAAGCACTTTTGGGGGCCTGACAGAGCCTGCGGTGTACTTATATCATATATAAATTTGCCTCTTTGCAACTACTTCTGCTACCTAGGTGTCTTTCTTACTGAAGTCTAAGATTGTTGTTGTTGTTTTTTTAATTAATTAATTTATTTGTAGTTTTCAACATTCACTTACACAAGATTTTGACTTCCAAATTTTCTCCCTATCTTGTCGTTCCCGTCACCCCAAGATGGCATGCATTCTGAATACCCCTTCCCCTAATCAGCCCTCCCTTCTGTTTCTCCCCCCCTTCTCTTATCCCCTTCCCCTTCAATTTTCCTGTAGGGTAAGATAGATTTCTATACTCCATTTCCTGTATATCTTATTTCCCAGTTGCATGTGAAAACAATTTTTTTTAACATTTGTTTTTAAAACTTTGAGTTCCAAATTTTCTCCCTTCCTCCCTACCTATCCACCCTTATCGAGAAGACAAGCAACTCAATACAGGTTATACATGTGTAGTCAGGCAAAACACTTCCATAGTAGTCATGTTGTAAAAAACTAAGTATAATTCCCTTAATCCTATCCCGCCCCCCATTTATTCTATTCTCTCTTTTGACCCTGTCACTCCTTAGAAGTGTTTGCTTCTGATTACCCCCTCCCCCAATCTGCCCTCCCCTCTATCATCCTCCTGCTTTCTTGTCCCCTTCCCCACCCCCATTTTCCTGTAGGATAAGATAGATTTCCATAGCCAATTGAGTGTGTCTGTTATTCACTCCTTAAGCCATATCTGATGAGAATAAGATTCACTCATTCCCTCTCACCTTCCCCCACTTCCCCTCCTCTATAAAAGCCTTTTCTTTTCTGTTTTATATGAGATAATTTACCCCATTCTACTTCTCCCTTTCTCCTTCTCCCTGTATAATCGTCTCTCACCCCTTAATTTTATTCTCCAGATATCACCCCTTCATCTTCAACTCACCCTGTCCCCTCTATCTATCTATCTATATACATACATATAATTTTTTTCCCTCCAATTACCCTAATTCTGACAAATATCTCATGAGTTACAAATATCATCTTTCCATGCAGGAATGTAAACAGTTCAACCTTAATAAGTCTCTTATGATTTCTCTTTCCTGTTTACCTCTTCATGTTCCACTTGAGTCTTGTATTGGAAAGTCAAATTTTCTATTCAGCTCTGGTCTTTTCATCAAGAATGCTTGAAAGTCCTCTATTTCACTGAATGACCATTTTTTCCCCTGAAGAATTATACTCAGTTTTGCTGGGTATGTGATTCTTGGTTGTAGTCCTATCCCCTTTGCCCTCCAGAATATTATATTCCAAGCCCTGCGGTCCCTTGATGTAGAAGCTGCTAAATCTTGTGTTATCCTGATTGTGTTTCCAATACTTGAATTGTTTTTTTCTGGCTGCTTGTAATATTTTCTCCTTGACCTGGGAACTCTGGAATTTGGCTACAATATTTGTAGGATATTTGGGGATCTCTTTCAGGAGGTTATTAGTGGATTCTTTCAATTTCTATTTTGCCCTCTGGTTCTAAAATATCAGGGCAGTTTTCCTTGATAATTTCTTGAAAGATGATGTCTAGGCTCTTTTTTGGATCATAGCTTTGAGATAGTCCAGTAATTTTTAAATTCTCTCTCCTGGATCTATTTTCTAGGTCAGTTGTTTTTCCAATGAGATATTTCACATTGTTTTCTATTTTTTTCATTCTTTTGGATTTGTTTTACAGTGTCTTGATTTCTCATAAAGTCACTAGCTTCCAATCGCTCCATTCTAATTTTTAAGGAACTATTTTCTTCAGTAAGCTTTTGGACTTTCTTTCCCATTTGGCCAATTTTGCTTTTTAGGGCATTCTTCTCCTCATTGGCTTTTGGGACCTCTTTTGCCATTTGGGTTAGGCTATTTTTTAAGGTGTTATTTTCTTCAGTATTTTTTTGGACTTCTTTTAGCAAGCTGTTGACTTGTTTTTCATGATTTTCTTACATTACTCTCATTTCTCTTCCCAGTTTTTCCTCTACTTCTCTTACTTGATATTCAAAATCTTTTTTGAGCTCTTCTGTGACCTGAGACCAATTCGTATTTTTCTTGGAGGCTTTGGATGTAGGAGCTTTGACTTTGTTGTCTTCTTCTTGTTGTATGGTTTGATCTTCCTTGTCACCAAAGTAATATTCTATGGTCTGACTCTTTTTGTGCTGCTTACTCATGATCCCAGCCAATTACTTGAGTTATAAACTCTTTGTTAAGGTAAGGGTTTGCTTCCACTGTGGAGAATGTACTGTCCCAAGCTTCTGGGGTTTTGTGCAGCTGTTTTCAGAGATACTTCTAGGGACCTATAAATTTCCAGTTCTTCCAAGGTGGTATGATCAAGGGTGAGATGTTTACTCCTTTCTTGGCCTGTGCTCTGGTCTATGAGTGACCACAAGCACTCTTTTCTGCCTTGGAACTGTGAGGAGGATTTCCTCTCCACCACCACAACAAGCTCCACTACACCAGAGCTCCTCCTTGCCTCAGGACCGCCACCCAGAACTGTGACCCAGATCCAAGCACGGGCAAAGCAAGAGAGTCCTGCACCAGCAAAGAGATCCCTGCAATCTCCCTCTGATCAGCCACTCAATTCCCCCTCAGTCTGTGGGCTGGAAGCTCTGGAAGCAGCTGCCACACAGGGCTGCACTTGGGGACTGGGGCTGGGACCGTACTTCTCTCTCTCTCTCACCACAGTCACAGACTTTTCCCACTGACCTTATAAGTTGTCTTTGGCGTTCATAGGTTGAGAAGTCTGTAAATCATCACAGCTGCCTGTGATTCAGTCCTCTGAGGCCTGCTCCAGGCCTGTTTGCCTGCGCGCCCACACCAAACTGCACTCCTCTCCCCACTGGGCGAGATATACCTTTCTGATCAACCATCCAGGTTGTCTTGGGCAGGATATTTGTTTCACTCTGTCTTTTTGTGGGTTCTGCTGCTTTAAAATTTGTTTAGAGCCATTTTTTACAGGTATTTGGAGGGGTTTGGGGGAGAGCTCAAGCAAGTAACTTAGGATTGTTTTTATAGGAAAAAAATAAGACCCCAAAAATAGGAAGTGATTTGCCCAGGTACACACTGCTAGTCATGGTTAGTGTCTGAACCAGTTCTTCCTGACTCCAAGTACAGCAATTATTCACTATATATGATCAGTGCCACATAAACAAGCTATTTTAAAAGATTTTTTGGGGGGGTGTATTTGCTTGAAAAACACATGACTTTAATGCTTTGTCATCTACTTTAACTCTGGAGAGAGACAGAAAAAGAGAGAAAGAGAGAGAGAAGGGAGAGAGAGAGGAAGAGGAGGAGAAGAAGAAGGAGAAGGAGAAGAAGGAGAAAGAGAAGGAGGAGAAAGATTCTGATCTCAATCCTAGAGCAGGAAATGCCTCCATTAATGCAGCTTGCTAACTCCTCTGTAACTTAATCTTAGAGAATTGCAGGGGGTCATGAGTGACTTGACTCTAGTTAGGCAGCCAGTATTGTCCAAGATAGAACTTGAACCCAGGTCTTCTTTATTCCAAGGCTGACCCTTAATCTACTGTGCCAAAACAGCTACCTCCTTCATTGTATAAACATAAGAAAGAAAAGGTTTAGTAACCATTAAGACCTTTTTCTGGGCTAGAATTTGCCAATGCTGAGTGACTGTGGTAGACTTTTTGGGAGATCCATGAAACATGAAGAGCCTTTCAGCTCCCCAAGAATGCTCTGCCATGATGCCTTTTTTTAGGAAAATGCAGCCAAGGTATGCTGGTAAATGTTTAACAACGGACTCTCTAGGGGGGGAAATGTATGTCTGTGTGAATATGTATGTGTATACACACAAAAAATTTTTTTCTCCACTACTTTTTAAAGTCTAGACAATCAACAAAACAATTAATCAAGCCCTGATTTATAGTTTGCTGATTTCTGAGGTATTAATGCTCACACTGAAAATTTAACAATCAGCTCTTCTGAGCCATTATGAACTGGCTCCAGTATATTACTGTTTAAAGCTCTTATTCATGCTCACTAATATTCCATTTACCTTTTCTTAATCTCCCATTATTCATTTCTTTTTCTCCTCCAAGGGCAATGTATACATGTACTATAAACTGTACAACTTCTATCAGAACTATCGCCGATATATTATTTCCAGAAATAATCGCCAGCTTTTGGGAGAAGATATTACGGTAAAAACTTCCTTTAAAATCATTGACTTAACTCTCAGGTGTTTTTATTCTGTTGGTCTTTAAATCTGAGGAAGTAGAAGGAAATTGTGTAATTACTTAGAGATGGTTATTTCTATGGAGAACAGATCATAATAGGACCATAGATTTAAAGATTATTGACTCTCCTCCCTCTCTTTTTCCAGATGAAGAAACTGAGGCCTAGAGAGTTTAAGTAACTTCCCGAGCGTCACTCAGCTAGAAAGCATCTAAGGTGGGATTTGAACCTAAGTTTTCCTGACTCTGAATCCAACAGCTAATCAGCCAGACTATGACACAATAGCTAAGATGTAAAGATGTAGCCACATCTGAAGTAAGTTGAGTGCATGGGGTAGCTGGGAGTCATAGTGGATAGAGCACTGGCCCTGGAGTCAGGAGGACCTGAATTCAAATCCAGCCTCAGATTTAGCTGTGTGACCCTGGGCAAGTCACTTAAGCCTGATTTACTCAGGAAGAAAGAAAGGAAGGAAGGAAGGAAGGAAGAAAGAAAGAAAGAAAGAAAGAAAGAAAGAAAGAAAGAAAGAAAGAAAGAAAGAAAGAAAGAAAGAAAGAAAGAAGGAAGAGAGAGAGAGAAGGAAACAAAGAAACAAAGTTAGTTGAGTGCAGCAAATTGAAGCAACATTTATGGAGGAGCTCAGGCTCCTGATACAATCTTGGTATTGTGCTCTACACCCTAACCCTGGATGATATGTTCATTCACTCTTACCTCCATATTCCTAATGTATTATCTGTGCTTCCCATATAAGCAGAGCTTTCCCTCTCTCTCCCTTAAAATCATCCCGTATCCCTTGTTACTATTTTCGACTTGTTGCCTATTATTTTAGCACTACCCCTTCCCACACACGAGGGAAATTTCTGGCTCCATCCATTCCTTGCTCCCCACCTAGGGAGGCTTCAACTTTGGATGAGAACAGATGACTCATAGAAGATGTTGGAGACAATACTAGAAAGCAACTGAACTCAGATAAAATACAATGGCCAATCTTGTATCTGTAGAAGTAACATTGAGACAGACTTTATTCCTCCTACAAGAGAGGTGGGAGGCAATGGGGGTAGATTTTTGCATATACTGTCCAACGTAGGATACTTTACCAGTTTTTCCTGACTGTGTTTTTTCTTTGCCCAATGGGCATGATATATTGGGAAATGACTATGTAAATGGTATGTAAAAAACAAAAGACACCAACAAAACATTTTTAAAAGATAGTAGAGAAGGCAAGGAACTATCTGGAGGACGTATCTAGTAATAACCCCAGCATCATTAATCTCTGGGGTCTCAGAATCTAGACTTGAAATATCTCTGTAAGAGTTTCCAGCTCACTCTGAAGTCTTAGTAGAGGAGCTAGCCATATTGGTTGGTTGCGAGGATCAGAGGACCTATCTAGTGATAACCCTAGAATCATTCATCTCCAGGGTCTCAGAATCTAGACTTGAAATGTCCCTAAGAGTTTCCAATTGGGGGCAGCTAGGTGGCACAGTGGATAAAGCATTGGCCATCGATTCAGGAGGACCTGAGTTCAAATCTGGCCTCAGACACAACGCTTATTAGCTGTATGACCCTGGGCAAGTCACTTAACCCCATTGCCTAGCCCCCCAAAAAATTTTTAAAAAGAGAGTTTCCAATTGAGTAGCTTTCTCTGCCTAGTAGACAAGCTAGCCATATTGATTGGTTGTGAGCGTAACATTGATAGGAAGTGATTTGTTGATCAGGATTTCCCTGAGAAGCTGTAATCAAATCAGATTCCATTCATCACTACTCCCTTCTTCCCAAACGATATCAGATATTCTATCCTCTGAATTATCAGTGCTAAGGTGCTTGGTTTAAATGAGATTTTATTTAAAATCAGCAAGTCAGAAGACGAGACAGCCTGCTAGAGTTGGGGGGTAAGATGAATGGACAAAGGAAATGTTCAACTTGGACTTTAGTCTAGTGTGCTGAATTGTGGGTGCTCTATTATGGGAAGAATTTGTTGTTATTGAGTCATGTCTCGCTCTCGGTGACCCCATTTGGGGTTTTTTGGCAAAGATACTAGAATGGTTTGCCATTTCCTTCTCCAGATCATTTGACAGATGAGGAACTGAGGCAGACATGGTGAAGTGATTTGCTTAGGGTCACACAGCTAGTAAGTGTCTGAGGCCAGATTTGAACTCAGGAAGATGAGTCTTCCTGATTCCAGGCCCAGCACTCTATCCACTGCAGCGCCACCTAGCTGCCCTTCAGGGAAGATATCGAGAACTAATGTAATATATTAGATAAAGAGTCAGCTCCTGAGTCAGGAAGACCTGGGATCGTTCAAGATCTGCCTCTGACACACACAGCCACTTTGTGATCTTGGGCCAGTCAAGATCACCTCCTAATACCTCAGGCAATTGTCTAAGACTATACATTGAAGAAAAGTTGGTGATTTGCATCTGCAAAGAGAGTTTTTCCTCTGAGAGCTCCTGATACCAGTGAAATCACAGGTCCAGAAAAACAACAGTGACCAAAGGACAAGCTGGAGTGGGTTCAGAGGAGCATGACCAGGATGATGAGGAGACCCAAAACAATGCCACTGAAGGATGGGTTGAAGGAAGTGGGACTGTTTAGAAAAGAGAAAAGTTAGTGGGAGTCTCATACTCTGTAGGTACCTGAAGGACTGTCATGGAGGAGATCAGGTGTGCTCTGCTTGGTTCCAGGTGGCAGGAGCAATGGATAGAAATTGCAAAGATAGAGCCAAGATGGTGAAGTAAGAGGTAAGGCACTCTTACCCTCCCATAATAACCTCTGAAAACCCAGAAAATATCGCCCAAGGAAAAACCCTGGAACAGCTGGACCAGAAGAAAGATGGGGTGCAGCAGTCCTGTAGCCCAGGTAGCTTGAGGGATTAACAGGAAAGGCCCCTCTTGCCCTGGGGCAAGGAAAACAGTACAGAATGGGAGGCCTCCCAGCAAGCTAGCAGAAAGCCCCACCTCAGCATACCAGGAGGAGATCCCGAAGCCCAGGTGGTAGACCAGGCAAACACCAACACCTGGACCCCCAAGTGCCTCAGTGAGGGCAGGGTAACTGGTGGAAACCAGCTTGGAAAACCACCTGGTGCCTCGGCACCCTCAGCATTCTACAGCAACCGGGTCTCCCAGTGCCTTAGCAAAAATAAGGGAAGCAGCACTACAAAGGGCCCCAGGCAGATAAAGACTCTGCAACATCCATCTGAAAGGAGCTGAAGAAAGTGAAAGGAAAGGAAAAGCAGGCAACCTAGAGTTACCCTAGAGTTCTAGCCTTGCTGATTCCAGCCCAATACCAGGTAAGCTGCTAGAACCCTACAGCCTCGAACTGCCAACATTGGAGGCCCCAGCACACAAAGCCAGTGACCAGGTCCTAGGCTCCCAGCACAAGAAGGTTGGGTCAGTGCCCTCTGCTCCCCAGCAAGAGAGCTCAATCTCTTTAAAGGCCAGGAAATAAGTAAACACCATGAGCAAAAAGAAACATATGATAGACTGATATTATGAGAAGAGTGAAGATTAAGGCAGAAATTCTGAAGAGGACAACATTGTCAACAAACCCACATCTGGAACCTCAAGAGGAAATATGAACTGGTCTGAAGCCCAGAAAGCTTTCTTAGAAGAGCTCAAGAAGGATTTTAAAAGTCAAATGAAAGAGGTAGAAGAAAAAATGAGAGGTATGCAAGAGAAAGTCAATAGCCTGGAAAAAAGGAGGACAAAAATCAACCATAGAAAACAAGTTTCTAAAAAATACAATTGGCCAAATGGGGAAGGATGACCATTTATCAGGAATATGGTAGAAGGAATTCTTGAGGTAAGGGTAAGACTAGAAAACTTCTGAGGTCCCTTCCAATTCTAAATCTGGGCAATAGAACTCTCTGTTCTAGAACATGGCAGATCCCAGCCCCAGTGTGGGCCTGGCAAGAATAATACAGAAAGTAAAGCCAGAAATCTGTCCACTGGCTAGGATTTTCCTAAAGAAAAATCGCTATTTTCATTTTTGGAGAATTTGGGGGTTGGGACTGAACAAACTATGGATGATTGGCCATGTTTTCCTGCTTTAGAACAGTGGTATGAACCTAATTCACCTCTTTGAGTATGAATGCTTGTACCTTCCTTCATGAACATCACAGGGCTTAGTGAATAAAAGGAGTGGTAGGTATCATTTCTGCTCATCAGCTCTACCTCCTTATAATGAGACCCCTCAATGAAGCTTTAGAACTTCCTGAGTTATATAAAGAAACTGATCTCTACTTCACTGCTAACATTAGCTCTGGAAAAATACATTTTGCTAAGAAGGCAGTCTTTTCAGACCTGGAGTAGAAAACTTACTGAGGCTTAAGCAGTTTTGTCTGGGAACATGTGAATTGCTACTTAAGGAAAATATTTTTACATATTTTTTATGTAGTCACATGAAAATGACCACCATTTTGTAGCATATTTTTGAAACAGTTTGCATTAATTGTCCCTCTCCCCCTCACTTTCTGCAAACGTACATCCTTCTTACAAAATATAAATTGTGGAACATTCCTTATAAACACTGAATAAGAAACTTTAGAAAAAACATCACATTCCTTGGTCTCGGTTGCTGCTAGTTTTCTCTCTTCCAACAACCCAAGTAATCAGACAAAAGGCATTCCTCATTTTTGTGTCATCTTGAATTTAGAATGTTGAGAACTGCGCTCCGTTCCAGAGGGTTTCCAATGATATACCCATCGCTCCTTGCGGTGCCATTGCCAACAGCATGTTCAATGGTAGGTGTCTTCTGCCATCCTTTGGGTTTATCCACTTCAATGAGTTCAATCAGTTAAAATGTCCAGATCACCACCTTTGCAGCAAAATTTCACTTTTTAAAATATCCATTTCCAGAATGCATTCTTCCTCACTTGGCATGACATCCTGTGCACAGCAATGAATAGTTATTGAATTGACTTTATTTGAATTCCTACATTGAGCACTGGATTATAGTACTCAGGTTGCAAATGAATAGACGTAGACATAAACATAAAATGAAAACTGGAGGAGGCCTTACAGATCATCTAACCTAACCACCTCAGTTTACAAATGAGCAAACTGAGACCCAGAGAGATTTGGGGATTCTTCCACAATACCACCTTGCTTCCAAAGATTATAAAGAGGAGTCTGTTAATTTGAACCAAACACAATTGGAGTATTCACTGGAAGAAAAATCAGTTCTGATTGCTTTTGATAGTCATATGTGTATTAAAATCTTCCTAAACTTTATTATTTTCCCAATTCAGTCAACTTAGAAAAGAATGATTAAGAACCAATTATATAAAATACAAAGAGAGGTAGGACAAAGATCAAGGAGTAATTGGAGTGGGGAGACCGATCTGCCAATGACTATTAAGGAAGGAAGAGTAAGATACGTGCTAAGGAGAGGTTTAAGCAAAATACTATGAGAAATCTCTTTCACCTTAAAGAGATCATAGGGCTAGGGAAAGATTCATGAAAGAGAATATGAGTTAGGCCTTGAAAGAAGGAAGGTACATCAACAGTGAGGGAATCATAATGACCTGAACATAAAAAGGGTTTAATAAGCATCTCTTTAAATAGATTGTTTAATTGGGGGTTGGGAAAGAGGAAGGGGAGGAAAGGAGAATCTGTGACAGGTCTAGGTGACAATATGAACAAAAATAAGAGGACTGGAGAGGGAACAACAAAAATGGGGGTTGGAAAGGGGTCCAGCAAGTCTGGCACATAAAATAGTGATTAGGAGCTGGTTGGTAGGTTTTAGTGTCATTTCTGGTTTTAAAAGGTAATAGGAATTTTGTACCAATACTAACCACCCAGAATAGTCATAGGATGTACACAAAAGGGAAAAAAAGTAATTGAGTAATGATTGGTAGTAGGTCTAGAGAATGGACTTTTAGCTAGGGGTTGAGTACAGCTATGCATGCCAAAAGCCTTGCTATGTGTGTGTTACAACACCAGAGAATTTACCATTGCACATGATGAAGTTTCTTTGGATTTCCCTACAGACACTATTCTTCTGTCATACTACCCTAACTCATCTACAAGAATCAACGTCCCACTACTCAGCAGTGATATTACATGGTGGACTGATAAGCATGTCAAGTTTCAGAATCCCAAGTCCAGTAACCTTGCCAGTGCATTTGCAGGTAAGGTCCATTAACACTGCCATTGTCATTTTATCTCACTTATAAAGGGTAGTTGGGGGAAAACATTCAGTCCTACTATACATGGCAATGAGCAATGTATGGTAGGAGCATGACCAGCAGCTTGTCACCGTAAAGTAATATTTTAGGTAGGTAAGTAAGTGGGATAAACCACCATCTTTCAGATGCCTACTGTCCCCTTTTGTAGTATATTTTCTTCATAAATTCTGTACTGATTCTGCAGCTTGGGAATGACTGGAATTCTTCATTCTTTCCTTCCACCCAGCCCTGCCCTGTGGATTTGTTATTCTGATTAACTCTGGTTTGACCTGGCATGGCCTCTCTCTGGTTCACCCTTTAAGATCATGACCTTTCCCCAATTTTATTCTTACCTTGAGGTCACCACAGTCCAGGCCTCCACTGAACTCTTATATAACTTCCTCACTGGTCTCCCTTCATTTAGTCTCTTCCATCCCTAATCTTCCATCTCCAATCCACCTTCCACACAGCCATCTGATTAAAAGCCCGAAAGTATAGTTCTGACCATGTCACTCCCCGGCTTATTAGTTTCCCAAGCCCTTAGGATAAAATATAAACTCTTTTGTTTAGTATTTAGTGTCCTTCCCATTGAGACATTAAGTAAAGATGACTTGTTATTTTCTCCCTAATTGGCCTCCTGGTTCCTAGGAAGAACTATAGTTTTCCTGGATGGGCTGTGATGCACAGCAGAGAAAACCAGTAGTTAATATGGCTGCTTATTGTCTTTGAAATACAACATAGACGAACCTGGTACTCAGAGAAAGTTGATTTTTTTCCTGTCCCCAGGATAGGATATTCTGGGGTACCCCGGGCAGACCATGGGGAAGAATGTTGAAGCAGTGGCAGCAAAAAGTCTGATCATTTCACCCACAGCAATTAGTATTCCCAAATCAAACCACTGTGGGGCAGAGAAGGATGGTATCAACCAAGTGAAGGTGGAAGAACATCCTTGTTTTTTTCCATGAAGGAAACCTCTCTCATTAAGAAGAGTTTCAGGAGTGGAGGTGGAAACATACAAAAACATGAGGAAGGTTAATCCAACTAGACTGAGCACATTTTTTTGTTCACACCAAGTGTCCCACACTTGGAAAGGAAAGTTGGATTTCTCTGGAGGGGAGAATGGTCCCATCTGTAAACCATGTGACTGAAAACTTCCCTCCTCCTTGCATTAAGACTTACATGTCCTGAATGTCATAGGGCAGGCTTTACAAGAGTGGAAAGTCTGTTAAGTTATCATTACTTAATAAAAACTGATTGGGAAAACTGGATAGCAGAGTGACCAAAAAATAGATTGAGATCCAGCCAATTTTCCCATAGGTTTTTATTGAATAATGATGAAATTTCCCAATGTTTTAGTGTGATTTTTATGAAACACTAATCTCTTGTGTGTTTCAAGTTCTATTTCTGCATTCTATACTTTATTCCATCAATTTATTTCTCTATTTTCCCCCTAGTGCCCAAAAGCTTTTGCAATTATTGCCTTACAATACATTTAAAATATACTGGGCCCAACTTCCCTTCAGCTGTTCTTTTTCATAACTATTCTGGATATTTTTGCCTGAGTACTTTTCCATATGAATTTTGTTAGGATTTAATTCTATTGAGTAACCTTCTGGTATTTTTATTGGAATTGCACTAAATATATAAATTAATTTGGAGAATCTTGTTTTCATTATGAGGCAGCTGAGTAGCTCAGTGGATAGAACCCTGGGCCTGGAGTCAAGAAGATTTGAGTTCAAATCCAGCCTCAGACACTTATTAGTTATGTAACCCTGCACACGTCACTTAACCTGCTTGCCTTTAATCCACTGAAGAAGGAAATGGTGAACCACTCCAGTATCTTTGCCAAGAAAACCCCATAGACAGTAGTGACGTGCTATGGTCCGTGGGGTCACAAAGAATTGGACACAACTGAACAACAACAAATTTTCATTATGCTAATTCTACTTAATCACATACAAAAAAAACCCTCCACTTGTTCAGTTCTTGATTTCTGTCAAAATAATTTTGCAATTGTATTAGCATATACTTCTTATATATCTAGATAGACTAAAGCCTAATGTTTGATGTATTTTTGTTGTTATTGTCAATGACATTCCTCTATAAGTTTCTCTTGATTTTTCTTGGTGATGTATAAAAATGATTTTTTCATTTTGAATTTTATGAACATAGGTTCTCTTCTATTTTTAATTAGAGTTGCTCATTGACCGTCAATTTTATTGGTATTTTCAAATGATCAACTTTTAGCTTTATTTATCATTTCAATTGTTTTCTTCTTTTCTTTTATATTAATCTGAACTCTTATTTTGGCTAGTTCTCTCTTTTTCTGTTGGCACATTACTTTTCCTCCTTTTCTACATTTTCAAAATGCAGACTTACTTCATTAGTTTTCTATTTTGTTTTCTTTTTGATATGGGTATTCAGATCAATATGTTTGCCCCTGCCTTGGCTGCATACTATAGATTTTTATATGAAATATACATATTATTATTGTCTTTGATATGATCTATTATTTTCCATTTTTTCACCTATGGATTATTCAATAAATAGTCTTTTAGCGTTAGCTTGGGTTTACATATTTTGTTCCTAGTATTTACTGCTAACTCCAGTGTGTTATTAGTCATGAATGTAGTACAGAGGATTTCTATTTTTCTATATTTATTCATACCTTCTTTGCAATCCAGACAATGGTGTGCTGATAAATTTTTTTACAATCAGCTCTCTGAGAAAAAAAGTCCACACAACACACTTTTAAGTTTGATCTGCATTAACGTTTTCTCCATCACTTTTTTGAGTCTAGACAATCCACAAAACGATAAATCAAGCCCTGATTTGTAGTGTTTGCCTATTTCTGAGGAGTAAATACTCACACTAAAAATTTAACAATCAACTTTCAAGAACCAGTTCAAGCTGGCTCCAGCCCACCCCTGAAGCCAGATCAACTTTTGTGCATGTTGCATATGTATTTTTGAAAAATGTATACTCTTTGGTTTTCCCCTTGAGTTCTCTTCATGTATCTATTGAATCTAATTTGTTTAATACTCTATTTAGCACTGTAATTTATTTCTTAATCTTTTTGCCTGATTTATCATTATCATAGTGGGGCATTAAAATTCTCCATGATTATTAATTTTATAACCCATTTCCTTTTGTATTGGAGAGATAGCTAACATTTTGGATGCCAGAATCCCAATCCAAAAAGATCTCAACAGATTAGGACGATAGAATACATTGAATAAGATATTATTTAATAAAAATGAATGCAAAATTCCCCTCTTGGACCCTAAACCCTGGTCTGAGTAGTCATATGCTCAGACTCTTAGTGTGAGTTCATTTCCAGAATCTAATTCACAACTCTTGGAACAACAGGATGCTGAATGAGTAGAGTATTTGGTTCCGCAATGTCTCTGTCTGTCAAATGTTCATTCATTCAACAAGTATTCATTAAATTTAGGGTGGGCAAGGGCAGCTAGGTGGTGCAGTGGATAGAGTACTGGCCCTAGAGACAGGAGGACCTGAGTTCAAATCCAGCCTCAGACACTTGAAACTTACTAGCTGTGTGACCCTGGGCAAGTCACTTAACCCCATTGCCTGGCCAAAAATTTTTTTTTTTTAAATTTAGAGTGAGCAGCTAGGTGGCACAATGGATAGAGTACTGGGCCTGGAATCAGGAAGACCTGAGCTCAAATATGGCCTGAGACATTCACTAGCTGTGTGACCTTGGACAAATCACTTCACCGTTTACCTCAGTATCCTCATCTGTATAATGAGCTGGGGAAGGAAATGGCAAACCATGCCAGTATCTTTGCCGAGAAAACCCCAAATGAGGTCATGAAGAGTCGGCCACAACAGAAATGTCCTAACAACAACAACAGCACAGTATTCTGCTTTGTATACTCTACAGCCCAGCCAAACTGGCTCTCTTGCTATTCCTCATACACGTTTCATTTTCCATTTCCTTATCTTTGCACTGGCTGTGCCTGATGTTTGGCGTGCATTCCCTCCTCATTTCTGTCTCTTATAATCTCTAATTTCCTTCGAAGCCTACCTCAAGTACCACCTTCCACATGAAGCCTTAGCTGATTCCTCCCAGCTGCTAGATCTCTCCCCTACATATAAATTCCCTTGTATTTATTTTTACTATCCTCTTCTATGTCCTTTTGTCTCCCCCAGTAGAAGGTAAACTCCTTCAGGGCAGAGACTGTTGCATTTGTCTCTGCAGGGCCTAGTACAGTGCCTAGAACATAGCAAGGGTGGAATAAATGCATGTTGATTGATTATATAAACTTTGTCTCTCTCCAGCAGCAAGCACAGTGCTCTGCTCACATATGTACAGTAGAAGCTTTTTTTTCTTTAAGAGCTTATATCTCCCTATCTTGCCCAGACTGGAAGTCCAGTGGCCAAAGCCCAGTAGTGGCCCAGTCCTGAAAGCTTTAACCTACTCTGTTTTACTGACCTGGATCAACTCAAACCTCCCTGGGCAGCCTGGTGGCGTTCCACTCAAAATAATAATAATAACAACATTTACATAGCTCTTACTATGTGCCAGGCACTTTGTGTGCTGAGCTCCTTACTATTATTATCTCATTTAATCCTCACAGCAACCTTGTGGGATAGGTGTGTTATTATCCCTGTTTTACAGGTGAGGAAACTGAGGTCATACATCTAGTAAGTGTCTGAGGGCAGATTTGAACTCAAGTCTTCCTGACTCCAAGACCTGTGCTTAATCTACTGTGTCATCTGGCAGCCTGTCTCCACCGAATCCTTTGACTTCTTTCCACAGGAACTGTCAAGCCTCCTTACTGGAGGAAGCCTGTTTATCAGTTGGACCAAGGGAATCCAGAAAACAATGGTTTCCTCAACAGTGACTTCATTGTCTGGATGCGGGTAGCAGCCCTTCCCACTTTCAAAAAGCTATACAGGCGCATCCACAGAATCCAGCAGTTTGCCGATGGCCTCCCTGCCGGGAATTACAGCCTAGACATATCCTACAGTATCCTTTCTCCAGCTGCTCCCTTCAGAGGATGAGGGGAAAGTGTTTTAAAGGCATACTATCTAATCTTTAAGGGCAGGTAAAGGGCACAATGGATGGAATAACGGGGCCTGGAGACGGGAAGACTCATCTTCTTGAGTTCAAATCCAGCCTCAGACACTTGCTAATGGTATGATCCTGGGCAAGTCACTTAACTTTATTTGCCTCAGTTTCCTCATCTGTAAAATGAGCTGGAGAAGGAAATGGCAAACCACTGCAGTGTCTCTGCCAAGAAAACCCCAAATGGGGCCATGGAAAGTCAGATAGGACTAAAAATGACTAAACAACAAATCTAATCTTTTTCTCTTTGAATGTCTAGTACAATGTAATGCCCAATATGGTGGTAGGGAAAAAATTTTTTTAATGTGATTTAATTTGTCCAAATTAAGTCAGCGGTTGAGGTACTGTTTAATGTTTTGGCCTCACAAAAATAGGGGAGGAAATGAGACAAACCCATAACTCATCACTTAAGTGACCCTGCTGTTGACCCCACCACATAGTTGTTTGGAAGATGGCGAATTATTCCTCTCTCCTAACTCCCTCTACCTCACCCATGTAGTAGAATGTGCAGTAACTTCTGTCTGTATGTCAGTGTTTCAGTACTTCAGAGGATCATAGCTTTAAAACAGAAAGGAACCTTAGCGGTCATCTAGTCTCCCCCTACCCTCTAATTTTACAGATGAAGAAAGTGACAGAGATGTTACCCTGGTCAAGGTAACACAGATAGTAAGTAACAAAGGCAAGAGTGGAACTCAGGTCCAGTAACTCCAAATTTGGTCCTCCATGTTCAGTGCTCTCTCTACTGCCCCACACTGCCTTTCCTGGGATCCATGATCTCATTGATGGGAATATTCCCTCCAAAGACATAGGTCATAATTCAGAGGTGAAAAGAATCTCAGAGTGCAGCTAGTTGTTAAAAGTAGAATTCTTTGCTCAGGCTTCCACCCTAATTAATGAGGCAAAACAGGATAAAGAAAATTAAAAGGAGTTTATTAAAAGCACATCAAGGTAGCAACACATCGATGGGCTGATCATTGGAGATCAGCAGAGGATTCAAGATGGAGCCAGTTTTTATTGATAACTTTTGTAATGAGATAAAGACAATTCAGATAGGTTCACATCAGTAAAAGAGAATGGGCCATTGCATCTCAGTTCCTCCCCAGTGGCCTACACGTGATATTTATCAGGTCAGGGTACAAACCACAGGTAGTTATCTGAAAAATAGCAAGGGATGCATCCCCTAACAGCCTCCCCCTACACGGATTCACAAGCAGGTCCCTGAAAACAGTGGGTCACTGAGTCAGAATAACTTTCAGTATAGTACAGCCTATATTAGAACAGGATTCCCCTACAACATTCCCAAAATCACAACTTTGAGGAAAGTCTTATCTTCTCAGGGAGGGGGAAAAAGGAAAGGAATAAACATTTATGTGGTACCTACTATGTAACAGGCACTATGCTGAGCACTTTATAAATACTATCTCATTCGCTCCTCCCAACAACCTTAGGAAGTAGGTGCTATTATTATTCTCATTTTACAGTTGAAGAAACTGAGGCAAATGGAGATTTTTTTTTTTAAAGTGACTTGCCCAGGGTTACTCAGCTAGTAAGTATCTGAGGCTGGATTTGAACTCAAGTCTTCCTGACTCCAGGCCCAGTGTACTACCTCTAGGTAATAACAGAGCCTAAGCAGTAAGTAGAAAGATCCCTAGATCCCTAGACAGTCTGAAGACTGTCTGACTTCCCTCTCTGCCATTCTGTGAGCAATGATGGGCAAATCTGTTCACCTATCTGGGCTTTCATCTCTCCTTCTATGACGTGGGGATGAGAGGCCGCATGGCTTAACGGATAGAGAGCTGGCTTGGGGGACAGGAAGACCTGAGTTCAAGTGCTGGCCAAATCAATCTCTCACTGCTCCTGACAACTCTAGCTTTCCACATCGATGAAATCATATTGGTGACCAGTGGTTTAAAAAAAATGGTGGCACTACCATCTACTTTTCAGCTTTGCTGAAGATGAGAGTCGTAGGTTGGTTTTTGGGGGGTTTTTTTCCATCTCTCTGGCGAAGTTGGAGGCTGAGAAACACCCAATTACTACTCAGGGGAAAAGACGTTCAACCTGCGAGAAGACCTTCATATTGCCATGCAAAGGCAAGCTAGAATTGGACAGTCTCCAAGAAGGGCAGGGAAAAGGCTGCTGATGGCTAGAGATGAGGCCCGAGGCTTGAGGGGTCAGAAGAATGCTGATCTGAAAGGAAAATGGGACTAGTTTCCCATCAAGCTTCCTGGTGCCTGAAATGCCAGCTGCCAAGGGATTTGAGGCCTTTCAGGGCCTTGCTGGGAAATGCTTCTCTTCTGTTCCGTTGCTAAGAGATGCCATTGTTTGTTTATTATTTTGGTTTACAAAAGGCACCAGCTGTATAAAAACCTCAGGCCACAGTATAATCACAATGATGTCATTAAATGCTAATGAGAGCAGACAGGACTTCAAACACTTTCTCCTCTAGGGAGTTCTGGACTTTTAAAAACCTGAAGGGAAGGAGCCCAAGTTCCCATGTTCCCACCAAAAAATGTTTTGCCATTCAATTCTTTTTTCTTTGCTCGCTCCTGGTGGATGACAGTACCAGAGGGTTCACTTCAGTCTAACGGGATTCTTGTCAGCAGAGGAAAGTCACCTAGCCACCAGCTCCCAATTCATAAAACAAAAGATGAATCCAGCCTAAAAGCTGTAGGTGTCACTGTTCTTTCTTTTGGTTTGGTTTGGAGACAGAGAGAGAGAGTCTCTCCTCACATAAATAAAGCTAATGGCTTATTTATATGATAAATAGAACCTACTAGCTTAGTTCATTGAGAGTTGACCTTCAGTCTTAGAAGACCTCAGTTCAAGTCGCACATCTGATACCACTGGCTGGCTGTATTACCCTGGTCAAGTCATCTACCTCAGTTCTCTAAGATTATGGGCAGCCAAGTGGTACAATGGATAAAGTTCCAGGCCTGGAGTTCAAAATCTGGCCTCAGACACTTATTAGCTCTTTGACTTGGGGCAAGTTGCTTTACCCTGTTTGCCTCAGTTTCCTCATCTGTAAAATGAACTGGAAAAGGAAATGGCCAACCACTCCAGTATCTTTGCCAAGAATACCCCAGATGGGGTCACGAAGAGTCTGACACAACAGAAAAACAACTCAACAACAACTCAGATTATAAGGTGAAGAAAAAGTGATAGCCTACACTGACAGACAGGAAAGTTCTCTGTAACCAGTGAAATCACAGTTCCAGTCCCTCTCTCTCTATTTTTATTTAGTTATTTTGTTGTTTTTCAGTCCTGTCAGACTCTCCATGACCCCATTGGGGGTTTTCTTAGCGAGGATACTGGAGTGGTTTTGATGCAATTTAGGGGTTCATGATGCAGTCTAGAGGTTAGGGGTCCTGGAATCCCAAAATCACAACACCCGGGTCCTGCCCGAAAGACTTCGATGCAATACTTCTTGTAGCCAAAAATAAGATTTATTGAAGATTTGCCATATTCGCTAGACTCTTGAGGAATCTGAGCATCTATGGGCTATTGGCTAGATTCTAAGAATCAGAGCGTCTAAATAGAGACAAGATGGACCTTGTATACAGAAAGATTGTGGGAGGGATCTAGGAGTGGCCAGGTAGTTTGGGGTGCTGGGAGGAAGGGCGTAAGGAGATCTGGATGGGATTGGCTAGTAAGCTAGGAAGAACAGAACTCCTGGGACCTGGAACTCATGGCCAAGGGAGAATGGAGCCTAGCTAGGATTAAGGATGGGAAATGGCGGGGGTGGGGGGGGGGGCATAGGGAGGCAAAACAATGGAGGGGAGATTGGGTGTAGCCACAATAAAAGGCCAGTTGATGGGATTATAGCCTTATGTGAAAGCCAGAGATTTGGCCATGTGGGAAAGTCCAGGGTTTTTCCTTTCTGGGGCCCAGATTCCAACCCCATCAGTTTGCCATTTCCTCCTCCAGCTCATTTTATAGATGAGGAAACTGAGGCAAATAGGATTAAATGACTTGCCCGGAGTCACACAGCAGTGTTTGAGGCCACATTTGAGCAGGTCTTCCTGACTCCAGGCCTAGTGCTCTGTCCTCTCTCTGTTGCAGTCTCCTTATCTGTGAAATGGAAATAATGATACCACCTACCTCACAGGGTTGGGATTATCAAGGGAGATTACACATGTGGAACACTTTGTAAATGTTAAAGAACTATATAAGGGCTAGCTAGTCTTAGCTATTTGTATTATATCACATCATAACATATTACATTTATTGCTTTATATTATATTGTATTGTATCACATCATAATATGTTATACAGTATGATGTAGATTAGTAGAGTGGTGGTTGTCCTTCGTTCTCAAAGAGGACCAAAATGACATCACTAGAGTCTCGTTTCAGAGTGTCTGACTGTGACTGATCAGACCAACATGAGCTCGGAATGCTCTACCACAGGTAGGGCACAAATAGTGCATGTGAACGTTTGGGGTGAATTCTCTAAATTTGTGCATCTTGCATTTCTTTTGAGCTATTTCAATTCTTCTTTGCTCATAGAGCGCAGCACCTTCCCTAATGATGGCACACCATGCTGGGCGGTCCTGTGCCAGTGCCTCCCATGTCACACAATCAATTCCAAAGTTCTTAAGAGAGATCTTGAGGGTGTCGTTGTATCACTTCTTCTGACCGCCGTGTGAACGCTTGTCCTGTGTGAGTTCCCCATAAAATGGTCTTTTTGGCAAGTGTACATTTTGCATTAGAACACCATAGCCAGACCATCAGAGTTGTGCTCTCTGATGTAGAGTTTGAATGCTTGGCAGTTTAGTTCATGAAAGAACCTCAGGGCAGCTAGGTAGCACAGTGGATAGAGCACTGGCTCTGGAGTCAGGAGGACCTGAGTTCAAATCTGGCCTCAGAAACTTACTAGCTAGCCGTGTGACCCTGGGCAAGTCACTTAACCCCCATTGCCTAAAACAACAACAATAGCAAAAAAAAGAAAGAAAGAACCTCAGCGTCTGGTACCTTATCCTGCCGGGTGATCTTCAGAATCTTCCTAAGACAATTCAAATGGAAGAGATTCAGTTTTCTGGCATGGCACTAGTATACAGTCCAGGTTTCACAGGCATTCACCAATGAGGTCAGCACAACAGCTCTATAGACCTTCAGTTTGGTAGTCAGTCTAATACCTCTTCTCTCCTACACTTTCCTTCAGAGCCTCCTAAACACTGAGCTAACTCTGGCAATGTGTGCTTCAACCTCATTATCAATGTGTACATCCCTGGAAAGTACACTGCCAAGGTAAGTGAACTTGGCCTAACAATCAACACCAAGAAAACACAGTTGCTCCATCAGCCACCACTACATTATCCATACAAGGAACCATTGGTTACAGCAAATGGAGAAGTTTTGAGTGCTGTGGATAAGTTTACTTACCTTGGTAGATTAGTATAGTATGGTATTGGTGAAATACTGAAACATATCCTTAACAAATCTTCTCAGACTTCCCTGTTACCCTATTCAAAGGAGAAAAAGGAGTGGTCCTTTCCACAGTGATGTGGAGTGGAGGGAAAAACTTCTTTCTAGGCATTGCCTACACGACCACAGGAGCAGTGACGTGGCTGGCAGCCTTTTCCATGACAGCAGTCCACTTAAAACTGAAAAAGAAGAAGGCATTCTTCCAATGTTAAAACTGGCCAAGGTCAAAGCAAAGATGGAAAGGAACAAGACAAGGCATATGTTCAGACCTTCTAACACCTGAGTCAAAACCCCTGAAAAGAATTGCAGTGACTGTTGTTCTAACCAGAGTGCACTGGATTTAGTGACCAAGTTCCAAACCAGGCACAGGGTGCCCAAGAGAAATAGAACTATATGAAATACACAATAATTATCTATATGCTTTCTAATTTGGGAATACAGATTAATCTTAAGTAGCACATATTGTAATTTCATTGAAAAAATATGAGTAAGCAAGGATAAATATGACTAAAATATGAATAAATCTTATGAATAAAGTACATTTTAATACCTCTTTTCTTTACTCAGTTTCACTAGAAAGTTCCCATAGTAATGAATTTGGTAATTTATAAACCAAAACAATGGGTTATGGTCAAGTAGAATCAAATGCCTCCTGAGAATTATGTTAAATTGTGTGAGCTAGCCTCCTCTTTCAGATATTTGAAGCCATTATGCCTAAAGGGAGCTCAGGTAGCCTTGGTGACCTCTGAGACCCTACTGTTATGTTCTTTTAAAATTTTTATTTTATTTTTAAATTAATAACCATTTGTTTTCTCTCCTTACCACGTCTTCAATTTAAAAGAAAGTTGTTTAATAATACAATTTCCACATTGGCCGTGTCCAAAGATGTGTGTCTCATTTTGTATGCTAAGTATACCATCTCCCTGTCAGCGAAGTAGTACTTTAGATCATCATCAGTTCTTTGGAATTATGGTGGATCAAGATCTCTTGATCAAAGATATTAAGTCTTTAAAAAGTGGTTGCTATTATATAAATTGTCCACTTCCCTCTGCATCAGTTCATATGTCTTCCCAAATAAAGTTTTTGTAGTTTTTTTCCCCCAGTTAATCATTTAATTTCTAATCTTAGCTGCATTTAGTTCTGTTTGTGCAAATATTTTTCAGTTTTATATAATCAAAACTATTCGTTTTATCTTCTGTGTTTTCTTCCTTGTTTGGTGATGAACTCTATTTTTATAGCTAAATCATATCTATTTGGAGCTATTGGTCTGAGGTATTGGTTTAAATCTAATTTCTATCCGACCATTTTCCAATTTTTACAGAAGTTTTTGTTGAATGCTTTTTTTTCTCTTAACCCAGGAGTTGAGATCTTTGAGTTTATCAGTTAGACAAAAATCATTTATTAAGTATCTACTTTATGCCAGACACTGTGCTAAGCACTGAGGGTATAGAAAGAGGGAAAAGATAGTCCTTGCCCTGAAGGAGCTTACAATCTAATGGGGAAGACAGCCAGCAAACAAATACATATAAACAAGCTATATGCAGGAGAAATGGGAAATAATTAACAGAGGGAAGAAACTAGAAATAAGAGGAGGTGGGATACTAAACTACTAGATTTAATTGCTTTTGTGTGTTATATACCTAATATGTTCTACTGATTGACATCTCTATTTTTTTTTAACCAGTACCAAATCATTTTGGTGATTACTGCTTTGTAGTATAGTTTAAGATCCTGTACTCCTAGGACCCCTTCCTTCCCACTTTTTTCATTATTTCCCTTGAGATTTTTGACCTTTTGTTCCTCCAGTTGAATTTTGTTATTTTTTTTCCAGCTCTATAAAGAATCTTTTGGTAGTTTGATTGATATAGCACTAAATAAGTAAATTAATGTAGGTAGTATTGTCATTTTTACTATGTTGGCTTGACTTGGTTGTTCACGTGTTTCAGTGGCGCCTGGCTCTCTGTGACCCTGTTTGGAGTTTTCTTGGCCAAGATACAGGAGTGGTTTGCCATTTCCTTCTCCAGCTCATTTTTACAGATGAGGAAACTGAGGCAAACAGGACTAAGCAACTTGCCCAGGGTCACACAGCTAGTAAGTGTTTGAGGCCATGAAGATGAGTCTTCCTGAATCCAGGACCCCACTCTATCCACTGCATCATCTACCTGCCCTATCCATGAGCAATTAATGTTTCCAATTATTTATGTCTATCTTTATTTCCATAAAGACTATTTTATGCTTGTATTCATATACTTCCTGTATGTGTCTCAGTAGGTAGACTGCCAAGTATTTTATACATTCTATAATTATTTTAAATAGAATTTTCCTTCTACAGCTTCCTACTTTTTTTTTTAGCAATATAGAGAAATACTGAATATTTATGTGAATTTCTTTTATATTTTCTGAATTTGCTGAATTAATGTTTTAATTAATTTTAGTTGACTGTCTAGGATTCTCTAAGTAAACCATCGTATCATCTGCAAAAAGGAAAAATTTTCTCTCTCCTTTGTCTGATCTTATTATCTCTGTTTCTTTTTTTTTCTCATTGCCATCAAAAGCATTTATAGCACTATATTAAAAAGAGGGGATGTTGGTCATCCTTGTTTTAACCCAATCTTAATGGAAAGATCTCCAGTTTATTCCTATTATTTATAATGCTGGCTCCTGATTTTAGACAGATACTACAATTATCCTTTCAACATCATGGGGGTTAGGGGCACAGCACCCCCACAATCTGGAAAATCCACATAAAATTTTTGTCCCTCTCTTCCTATCAAAGGAGTACTCTGAATTTTTTCTTTTTCTTTTATGGCGTATTTATAGTACCTTATTGTAAAATTTGGGTTAAGTATTTGGTCATAGGCTCTGTGCTATTTGCTAGCCTTGGCATGTTATCTGCAGCTTCCGCAAAATTACCAAAAATTCCCATTTAATTTCTTACGCTGACTGGCAATATATCAAAACCGTGATAGGGAAAGCCATAATGTGGAAGGGATAACTGTACTTACTATGTTAAGGAAAAGTCTACTTATTTCTATGTTTTCAAAAGAAACAGATGTATTTTATCAAACAACTTTTCCTGCATTCATTATTTTAAGTATATTACTGTTGTTGTTCTTAATATAAATATGGTTTATTGTGTTTCCGACAGCTAAGTGGTCCAGTGGATAGAGCACCAGTCCTGAAGTCAGGAAGACCTGAGTTCAAACTAGCCTCAGACACTTACTAACTGTGTGACCCTGGACAAATCATTTAACCTTGTTTACCTCCACTTCCTCATCTGTAAAATGAGCTAGAGAAGGAAATGGCAAACCATTTCAATATCTTTGCCAAGAAAACCCTAAATGGAAAAAAAAAAAGGAAAATCCTAAATGGGATCACGAAGAGTCAGACACGACTAAAATGACTAAATAACAAAATTATGTTTCCAGTTTTCCAAATATTGAACCAACTCTGCATTCATGGTATAAATTCCACTTAGGAACAGTGTGTTTATGTGTGTGTATACACACACACATATATAGCTACCTACTAGTATGGAGGCAGCTAGATTCAGTGGATAGAGTGCTGGCCTGGAGACAGAAAGACGAGTTCAAATCTGACCTTAGATACTCACTAGCTGTGTGACTTTGGGCAAGTCACTTTGTCTCTGTCTGCCTTAATCCACTGGAGAAGGAAATGGCAAACCACTGCAGTATCTTTGCCAAGAAAACCCCATACAGGGTCATGAAGAGTCAGACACAACTGAACAACAATAACCTACTAGTGTATATTTTTTTAAAAATAGTTTAGGACACACTGCAGGTCCAGAGGGCTTTAGGTCTCTGGCTGACCCTCAGACCCAGACCATAATATCAATTCCACACTTTTCATTTGAAGATATTGGAACCTAGCAATGTGCTAAATGCATATTTGATGCTCAGATATCTGTTGAGTTTGATGTCCAGACAATTTTCCTGAAGTAGTTCTTGTGCAACCCTCCCCACACATTCTTTTGCCATGAAATTAACAAATATCTTCATGTGTCAAAAGGAAAAAACTTGGGTTTGAGGTGAGTGAAGTATCCTGAGTATGGATGGACATCCCAGCAGGGCACCCAGAGAAACAGATCAGATGCTGCTCTGAAAGTCATCCATATGACTTGGATGAAAATCAAGTCTGTCAAAGATTCCCGTCATCTTTGGTTGGAAGGAACACAAAAACTTTTAGACCACAATGGGATAAAGTCTCTGGCACAAAAATGGACCACCAATGACATTTTGGAGTCTTCTGCACAGAAGGAAAATTTCTCATCCCAAAAGTAGCAAAGCCTATCTCAAAAAGATGTGAAATCCTTTGGGGAGGGGGGCTCTTGTCTTCTCATGCTCCATTTCTATCTTTGAAGTTGCAGAGTGGATAAGTGAGGCCCATTAACACAGGGTAATTATGGTAGAGAGCCTTCATAGCCTAGTGTATAGATCCAGACACTGTAAAATCCTGACTAACACAGCAATGTAACTGTCAGCAAATCTCATTGCTTCAGGAAACTCTTTTAGACGATAATTACAGATTCTTAGAATTTTGGAGTAGGAAGAGACCTTGGGACCCTCTATTCTAGTCTAACCTATAGCCAAAAGAGATCCCCACTACAGCACACCTTACCAGCGGCAGACTGTTCTCTGCTTGAAGCCTCCCAGCAGGGGAAGTGGAGGCTGGCTAAAGGGCTGAGAACCCACTACTTCCCAAGGTAGTCCATTCCACTTTTTAGTGGTTTTAACTTGTTAGGAGGTTTTTTGGTCCTGTTTTGTTTTGTTTGTAGTAATTCATGGTAGTTTTCTTTGTCTGATGCAAGATTTTAATTCAGATCTTCCTGACTAAAAGTTTAACATTCTATCCAGTTGAGACACCTAGCTACCTTGCTACCCTGTTCTTCCTATATATCTCAGGTTAACTCTAACTTCCCAAGAAATTCCTGATCACAGACTGAGAACAGCAAACTCTAGCCCTGATGTACTCTAAATCTAAGGCAGGAGTTCTTAACTTGGAGTTCATGGACCTACAAGGGATCCGTAGATGGATTTAAAGGGATCTATAAACTTGGGGGGGTTACATTTTTATTTTTACTATCCTTTGTTTTCCTTTGTAATCTTATGTGTTTAATTTTATGTGCTTTAAAACATTATTCAGAGAAAGGGTCTATAGGCTTCACCAGATTGCCAGAGGGGTCCATGATAGAAAACAAAACAAAACAAACAAAAAAAAGTTAAGAACCCCTGATCTAAGATCATACCTAAAAATTAAGAGATTTTCATGAATTCAAAAGAAAAAGACTTGGTACAAGTTATTTTTTAAAATTCCTGCAGATATCTACAACTCATCTGTCCAGTGCAATGAATCTGGGAAGATGTAGAAAAGGAGAAAATGAAAACATCTTGCCCATCTGTGAGCAGGGGCTCACCTTATTCCTCTCCAGCCTAATGATGATTTCAACTTTTCCTTTCCAACTGCGGTAAAAATGAATAAGAATATTGGATCCCACTTTGGGGAAGCAGGAGGCAGGATAAGTGATAGAGGAAGATTCATTAGAAGACAATATTTCACTCCTGAGACTTTGAAAACTTCATAAATTTTCCAAGTCCTCTCTAAAGCACTTCATGGCCCGCCAAAGGATTAGAATGGGAATATTGTGTGAGCCCTGCCCTTTGGAGGGAGGGATATTTTCTAAATGAAGTACTCTTTGGT